ATTATATAAAGTATGGTTTTCAAAGTTAATAACTCACATGATTGTGACATATGTCAAATCTATCGAACTTAGATTTTGCCATGTGTCAAATAAATATTTCCTTTTTAATAATTAAAAAAGGAAAAAGATAATTATAAATTTATACAGTTTTAAATATAAAAAGATCACTATAAGGAAACTATAATATATTTTCAAAAGAGATTTTTCCATGTGGCAAATAAAAAATAGTTTTAACAAATTTATAAAATATGTATATTTTCCATAACAATAAAAATTAAAAAATTATGCTAAACATTTTATTTATAAATTACTAACTGTACAAGAAAAAAAATTAAAATTAGAAAAAAGATTGTAAATACTCACCTCTTTATAAACAAATAGATTGTCTCATATTTTCTCACCAAGCAAACTAATTTCTTCAGAACCACCACCATTTCTTTAACTTCATTCTATTAGTAAAGTTTTTCCTCTTTTTTTGTCATAAATTATTTTTAGGATAATATTAGTAACTAACTTTTGACTCAAAAATAATTAAAGAAATAGCCATGAGTAGAAACTAACGTTTTTCAGCGATGTAATAGCCCTCAAACAAAAGACAAAACATACATGTAATTAGGATTTCAAAAACAAAAAATAAACACTAATAACACGAAATCTAAAAATAAAGAAAATCAATACTGGAATTTTAACGACGAAAGAGAGACATCCACCTAGAATCAGAGGAAAAAACAATGTCATTTAATAAAATAGCATATCATACTAAAAGAAATATGAGTAACATGTGATTGATAATGGAGGTGACGATGGTGGTGGTTGATGGTGGTGGTTGATGGTTACGGATGTGGTGATAGATTGACTTTAAAAATAACATGAATCATGTAAATATTATTTATCATTTATTGGAAATATATCATGTCATTTATATATATTTACAGATGTGGTGATAGATTGACTTTAAATATAACATGAATCATGTTGTTGGAAAGAGACTCGGCTCGATGCCAGAGGAGAAAAAAAGAGGAGAAATAAGATCAGTTAAGAAAGAGGAGAAGATGCGGTAATGGTGGTGTTGGTTATAAATAGTCCAACATTTATATTAGATTGTGCATTATGCATAATAAATCTATTTAAAAATAATTAAAATGCTACATTTTCTAAAATTAAAATATAGATGTTTATATAATTTTAGTTAAGCTTAAAAAAAATAAGTGATAATTTCGACCAGCAACCCGTGCAACGCACGGTCCCATATCTAGTTTTAAATAAATCATAGACGATAATATTAAGCGATATTTTAAAATTTTATTTAGTTTCACTTATAAGCTAATCAAATATTAATTTAGCTATTTTGTCATAAGTAACATTTTTGATTAAAAAAAAAACTCAAAAATGTATGACCTTTCAACTTTCATACAATTTTAGAAATACCAAACATATTGATTTTAAGTATGTGATAAGATTCATCACTATATATATATTTTTTTAACTGAAAAATGTATGAACTTTCAAGTTTCATACAATATTAGAATTACCCAACATACTGATTTTTAATATTAGAATTACCCAACATACTGATTTTTAATAGAAGATAAAATTAGTTTACATATAATTATTTTTCAATAAATGAGAATAACAATCAAAACCAACAATATTGTGGAAGTACATTTGGCCCATTTGTTAAGAGTTTTATGGGGTTCAAATTCCAGATAACACAATTTTTTGCAGATTATCAGTGTAAAGTTTATTGGCAGTTCCAAACTACTCCAGGTAGAACCGTTCATCGTGGTCTCATTTGTTGCAGGGGAAGCATGTCAATCGGATGTCGTACATATATAACTGAGTATTACGAGAAAAACTACATCGTAGAATTGTTGTTCGTGGAAGCCATTTATCGTACTCGCATAAATTGCAAAAATAATGTACAACATAATAATAGGATTAGATCAATTATTTCTAACAATGATGTAACAAATGAAAAATATTAAAAATGATAATAACCAAAACGTGATTTTAAATCAACAAAACCAAAACCAAAACCAATATCACCATAATCAACACCTCCATATAATCAAAAATCTCGTGTCGCAAACAACTTAATTTCAAACATGGCTTAGTTGTATAGATCGTTTGTTTACCTTTAATTTCAATGGTTGATGAACTTTAAATACAAAACTCAATGTAACAATTTATTTCATCAAACAACATATATACACTACATGCACATAAACCTACACACGCAAAACTTCTTCAAACCCAACAATAAAAATTGAGAGAATCTTTTGGATCAGTTGGTCAGTCAACATCAAACACTATTTCCATTTGTACATTTTCTTACTTTTAGAAATTGTCAAAAAGTTTTTTTTATATCCAATTCAACCCCAAAAACTAGTACTTTTTTATTTATGTCCAATTCAACCAAACCAAGTCCGTAGCCACGTCTCTATTTAACCAAAAACGGTACACAATAAATGCTTCTTTTCATAAAATCCCAACTTCCTCCAAATTTTTCACATAATACGTATTAGAAATTTAATCAACCAATAAAACAATTTTGATTCGCCTATAAGAAAGTAGAAAGAGAAAAAAAGCTTAAAACTTTGACAAAATTTAACAATCTGAGATTGTAATTGAGCGGGACCAGTATCGAACGAACCAGAAAGAGATTTGATTCCTTCCTCATCTTTATCCCTCAGGTTTACTCCTTTGACCTCATTTCTAGGTTTTCGAATTTGGGTAACGAAAAAGTTTTCATTTTTCCGATTCTTTGTGACTTTTTATAATTTTTGATTTCTGGGTTTTGTTCTCTGTATTCAATTAGCTCTGTTTGACGTATCAAAGCAAGAATCTTTAAAATGACGACCGGTTTTGATGATGCTTTCGTTTCTTCAAGACAACTCCTTTTGCTTGCTTCGATTTGTTCCGGTGCTCTCATGTGCAAAATCGTAAGTCTTTTTGACCCTTTGTTTGGTTCTATACGATGTTGCAAGATTCTTGATTTTGTGTTTTGGTTTTGTTTTGTAGGTTTATGACTTGACTAGTTTCATAAGTCCATTGTTCTTCAGTGTTTATGGAAACCTCAACAACAAAGTTAAAATGGAATGGAACAATAGGTTTAGATTCTTTATACCCTAATTCGAGTTTTTTCGATTTTTCTTTTGTGGAATGTGTTTTGAGATGTTTTGGTTTGGTTTGATTCTTCTTCCACAGGGGATTCTCAACTTTCCATGCTGTTTTTACTTCTGTGGCTTCAATTTACTTCTTGGTGATATCTGATCAATTTGATGAGAATGTTCATGGCGATTCGGTTATCAATAGTACAACGAGGTTATCGGAATCTGTAATGGGGGTTAGTTTTCAAACAATTTGCTAGTTACATTCACCGATGAGGATGAGATCATCTCTGATGTCTTTAGTGTATTTTGCAGATCTCCTTAGGCTATTTTATAGCAGATTTAGCAATGATCTTTTGGCATTTTCCTACTCTTGGTGGTATTGAATATGTAAGTAGGCATCATATAATACTTTCCTTATTCATCGATAAATATCGATAAAGAGTTGGCATTTAATGGTTGATGGATTGGTATAAGCTAATTGTTGTTTTGTTTACCTATATAAGGTTTTTCATCACCTCATATCGATGTTTGCGATCTTTCTGTCTGTCACAAGTGGGCAAAGTCAGTTCTATATCTTCTTAGTTCTCTTATCAGAGGCTACAACCCCGTTTGTTAATCTACGGTGGTAAGTTTTTCGGATTTAGAAAGTCCCTTCACAAATTCTGTTGTTCCTAGTTTTAATAATGCGCCGCCTCTCTAAATATCAAACGGATTGATTAATGGCAGGTACTTGGATAATAGTGGTCAAAAAGGCTCCAAGGCTTACATGCTGAACGGGATTGCCCTGTTCTTGGGTTGGCTGGTACTGTTAAATAGACCGAAACAAATCTCCTGTTACTAGCAAATGAGAGAAATAAACCGAATGTCTCTGCTTCTTTTACAGGTTGCGAGGATCCTTTTGTTTATCTACTTCTTTGTTCACATGTACCTCCATTTCCATCAGGTAAGTTCAATCCTGAGCTCGAAATCGTGCCATTTTCGAGACGTGAATCTAACAAGCTGTTTTCGCGTACGAAGGTGAAGCAAGTGTTTCCACTGGGATTTTACAGCCTTCTTACATTGCCACCGGCTCTAGCAGTGATGAATCTCCTTTGGTTCTGGAAAATCACCAAAGGATTGATCAAAACACTCTCAAAGGCGAAAACATCGGGAATGAAGAAACAGTGATGCTTGCCCTGGAAAAGATTTTCGATTGCATTCACTTTGATCTGTCCATGAAAAATTGATTGATATTCATGTTGTGATTGTCTCTGATGCCGTTTGGGTTTATGAACAAGAGTGTGCAAGCTTATGGGGGGATTTGTATATTCAAACCTTTCAGCTGTTTCTTAGGTATTCAACTTGTAAAGTTAGAACCAGTTTCAGTGTTTCACTCACATTTTCATGATGTTACTGTTACCAATCGCAGAACGGTTTAGGTCCGGTTTGGTTTAAACCGGCTAGTACTAAACAGATTTAGTACTTACTACTTACTAACTTAGTAGTCATCCACTTTTCTTTTTGCTAAAAAAGTTTAACAATTTAGGGATCAACCATAACCTATAAGATAATTACTCACTAATCATATATAAACACACAAAACAGAGACATTAAAGTCTGATTAAAGAGTTATATTAACTATTAAGTATAGGAAATCAAATCTTGTGATAAAAAAATTCTCCACCAATCCTAATTATGAATGACTGTCTCTTCTACTTTTTATTGGGCTTGTTAAAATATCTTAATGGGCTTATTTGATCCATATCTTTAGTGGAATACTGGAATTCATGTCCACTTTTGTGCTTGTTGAACTTGAACCAAATCGTTAAGATCGATATTTCACACAATCTTCTCCGACATAAGAAATAGTTCAATCAACGTTGTAAACAATGTTTTGAAAAGAAACTCTTACACACACAATATATTTTATTAATAAAAACAGCCTCGTCACCGAGGTAAAATACAACAGCAAACCAACAAAGAAACCCAAACCACACATAATAAGTGTATTATTATTACACAGACATAATTTGACAAGTTCGCATCAGGTTGATATAAACCAATGCCATGCGTGGACTTATAGTCACATCGCCTTTTATTCTTCACACAAGCTTCCAAAGCTTTTCATATCATTACATAATCATACATTATACAAAGCAAGAGACTTGTAAACAAGTCTCTCACTCACTTAACGACGAAAGCTCCTAACCTGACGAGGCGGGTCGGTCACGCTATCGTTAAGTTTGACACCTGTGTAGACGGCTGCACCAGCTATGGCACCAAGTGTAGGAGCCACCAGATAAACCCAAAGTGACCTATAGTTTCCTGATGCAACGGCTGGTCCTAGAGTCCTCACTGGATTCATAGATCCACCAGTCGATGGCCTGTCAAAAACTCGAAGTGTTTTAGAAACTTTTTTTTGATGCAATGATTCTTGAAAATATGAAGTTTAAAAAGCCTTTAATATGGACATACCCTGCGACTAGAATATTGAGCATGACCGTTGCTCCAACAGCTATACCTGCCAATTCTCCAACCTGCTCATTAAACACAATGAAAGAAAGAGAACTCAATTAGGGTTAGCTATATAAGTTACTATCACTGACTAGTCTATATAGGCATCGATGTGTTTATTTACGTATAGAGGTTATAATAATGACCATCCCATAAGAACTCTCTTTTTCCTCTAAAAAGTATTTTGGATATGTATAAATATCGAAACCCTAATTATTATAAAGAAAATCTTACAACATAAATTTAAGTTGTAAATATTGTATTTGGCATCCAAATAGTTAGAGATTACACTAATTATAAATATCTAGTATCCACAATTTTGAGTATTTTAGGAAAACTAAAGTTGTGTAAATTGTCAACGCAAAAACCGTACCATAAATTAAAGCAAGTGTAAGGAGAAATTTCGTTTCCTAATCCATTTGTGTTTATAAGAATCATGAATAAAAACTCAAATATGTTTTGTTTTCTTTAAACCGCAAATGTTAAAAGTTAAAACTCAAAAAGGTTTAGAGAAAGAGAGACTTACGGCACGAGTGTCGGTAGCGACGGCAGTGACAACAAAGAGGAGAATGAAAGTGATGATGAACTCAAGAGCAAAGGCTTGTCCAACGCCAACAGATGGAACAGTGACACCTCCGGACATAAAAGGATGGAACACTCCTTTAAGTGCGAATGAAGCACAAATGGAAGCTGAGACTTGAGCTGCAATGTAAGCAGGCACGTGAGCCCAAGGGAAGTGCCTTAGAGCTGCGAATGCTATGGTCAGTGATGGATTTAGATGGGCCCCTGAGATGTGACCCGTTGATAGTATTATGATCATCACTGCGAGTCCTGCGCATGCCGCGTTACCGATTAGGGTTTCTGCTCCGTCGTATTTCTGGTTCACGATTGGACCGGCTGTCGCGGTGAATATCAAGATGAATGTTCCCACGAACTCGGCTCCAAGCTGCATTATGCACATACAAGATAGCAATGATGAACAAGTACTAGAGGAATATAGGCTAGAGAGGAAGAGAGAGATGTTTCTTGTGTAACAAGAATACGCTTTTGTGTTTCTTGAAAATGAAATTTTCTTTTTAATAACCGGAGGGTTTTGAGTCGAAGCTAGACTAATCATGGACCGGTTTAGACTCAAATAAGACTGTCATAGAATGTTACTGGCCAAATTTCCTAATTTCAAGTAAGTATACCTATAATCACTAGAAGACCATTAAATTAGTTTCATTTCTTGTGTCCATTTTTTCAAGAAATAAAACTAATTTAATGGTCTTCTAGTGATTATAGGTATATAGCGTGTGATCTGTCTATATCCGCCTCCACGTTAACGAGCATCAACCAAACCAATCATAATATTAATCATATGTTGTTATATATCAAGGAAACAAATTCATAAATAATTAACACTAATCATAAGAATTACAACACTACTTCAATATTATTGGTTCATGATTAACTCTAGAGAGTAATATTATTGGTTAATGATAAAAGGACAAGAGCCGTGGCTTCCGTCATGGACAGAAAGAAAACGCTCACAACAATTAAATGACTCAAAAAACCTAACCAAACCATACGTAACATAAATCTTTCACAAAAACAATAGTAAATTGACGTAATATTTAACTAATTTGTATTCGTCATTACAAAACAAAACCCATTAAATCTAATAATTTGCGTGACCGTTTTTTTGCTTCAAAACAAATACAAACCATTATATTTATGCAACTTGCGTGTTTCATTTTAAAACCAATTAATGTTATCGCAGTCAAGACTTATTAATTAGCTCATTGTCACAAGAACAATAAACTACTAACATATGTGATATGTACAATCCATAAAATTGAAATATGAGGAGAGTCGGTGTCTATTGAATAGATTAAGTTGAGTTCGAGTGGGCCTTAATTAGAGAGTTATACAATTATTTTCTCTTAGTTTTTAGACTTATTTTGTTTATACATTTATTTCGCTCTCTTTCTATTTGCCAGTTCTGATCTAATTCTCGGTTGCGACTGCTAGTTTATGTCGTGTTACAACCTCCTCCAAGTGTGACGTAAACCCCTATGATATTTTCAATATCTTATCTATAAATAATAAAAATCGGTTACAAGAATAAATAAGTATTATCTTTTGGTCACTGCTTCTCTGTATTTCAGAGCTTACAAAAACCATAAATTACGATCGATTTGTGAGTTTCCCTATAGTACATAAATATATATATTATTGTCTCGATCTTCATTATTTTTTTCCCCAATTGATCAACTCGTTTATTCAATATTTTCCCAACGTGAATTCCTATGTTTTCTATAATAAACGAGCCAAATATTTGGATTTCTTTTATTAGATTAAAACAAAATATGAGAATATCCTTATTCTGTAAAAGTTCTAAAGCTATTGTAAAACATTTTAGGCTTACGTCGGGTTCCTAGAAATTTAATAAAGCTTTTTAACTCATTCATATTTTCTTCATAAACTTTTGGTAACACTTTCTAAATCTATTTCTTTGTTTGCGAATAATATGCAATATGTGGTTATGAATTCGCAGTGTGATGATATCAATATTATTAGCACAAACCACTAAGATACAAGTCGATATTTTTTCATGGTAATTTGGAATTAAAAAAAAAAAAGATATACTAAGAATTATTTATGAGTAAAATAAAATAAAAAGAGGAAGATGGCTAACCTTGCGAGTGAGGGAGACATCAGGAGAGGGAAAATCGGTGAAGCATGTGTCATGTTGACCCCAAGTTGATCCCATCACCGGCAAGCATTTGCATCGAGGCGTTGGTTTCCGATGATCGAATGACATTGAATCCACTCTCATTCCCGTGATCAATGGCCCTCCCGGTGTTCCCGGCGTTCCCGGGGTAGGAGGAGCCATCACCACAACCGAACCCACCTCAGCCTCCGGTGGAGCCATTTCCAACGTTTTTTTTTTCTTTTCTTTTCTGTTTTTGTTTTAAATAAAAGTACTAAACTCTAATTTTTTTTTGTTTTTTTTTTTTTTGGTGAAGGAAATATATTGATAGAGACGAAATTTACATGATTTGAAGTTTTTATAAATTTGTGTTTACACTTGTGTTTTAAACTTCGCCAGGACCGGTGTCACCAAACACAAGTTAAAACTAAAGAGATCAATAAATGGGAAAACTCATCAATCGATCAAAAACCTTTTTTTGTTTTTTTTTTTTGTAAGAAATGAAACGAAAATGGAGCTAGGACTTAAATTTACATGCTTTCAAGGATTTTTATAAAGCTGTTTCTACGTTTTAAGAAGAAGAACAACAAAGATAGCCACCTTACAAAAAAAAAACCAAACTCAGAAACCGAATCTTATAAAAAGCAAAGACAACAAACTCATAAAGATGCGTACGTTAGCACTGAACAAAGACTGATTCTCAAAACTGAGGTTCTAAATAAAAAGAGAAAGAAGTTCGAATGAAGAAGATGATGGGTTTGGTTAGTCTTTGAGCTTATGTTATATTTATATGTGTTTGTGTTTTATATAGAAAAGAGATTATTTATTATGCATTGAACCAAAAAAGATCAATTATAAAAAACAAGTCAACTCCAATATCTTATTGCTTTTATATAACAGCTTCATCAGCTACTGACTCTTTTGAGATTTTGTTGAACTGCTAAAGTCACCGGTGCCTTTGTCACAGGCATATTCGTTACCGTTGGATCTAAGTCATCTCTCCGTGTGTGACGGTTAGGAATTGCACATGCGCCGTGAGGGTATCACTCATTCGCCAACCCACGACCCTCCAATAATTCAATATTAAAAAATTTATTAAGTCTAGGGAAGAGCACTTGTTTCGTGTAACAATATTTAAAGAAAACCAATTTCAGTTTTTTTTTGTAAGGGTAGCTTAAATTTAATTTTATAAGTAGTATAACATCTAAAAAAAGAAAAAAGTAATGTTCATTATATTTCATACTGATGTTCTTTCAATAAATGTTTTAAATATTTTATTTGATGTTTTCACTTTATAATGTCAAAATTAATTACTTTTTTTTTTTATTATTTATACTAGGTTATGAACCCCGCGATATCGCAGGAAACTCATTTTCAACAAATATATATTTTATTATGTTTATGTATTAAATTATTATTATAATATATTCAAATAATTGAATTATTATATAAAATTAACTATGTTTTAAAGTTATATCATAAATATTTTCTAAAGATATTAAAAAAAATTTATGAATAAAAATGTAAAAAACAAAATTATGATTAAAAAACACTTTTGAAACATTTTTTGTGAATATAAAATTATTTCTAAGTGACAAAATAACTAACGAAGAGTTATAATATAGAGAGGAAAAATTCTAGCGGGTCAAAACTAAAAAGATATAAAAACACAACCAGAAAAATAACCGTCAACACAAAAGTAACCGTCAATATTTTAACGAAGAGTTGCGATAAAAAGACATAACCGAGAAAAAAATAACCGTCGATATTTTAACGAAAAGTTGCGATAAAAAACACAACAGAGAAAAAATAACCGTCAATATTTTAACGAAAAGTTACGATAAAAAACACAAAAAAATAAGTAAATGTCAACATTTTTACGAAAAGTCATGATAAAAAGACACATCAGAAAAAATAACTGTCAACGAAAAATGTAACCGTAAATATTTTAACGAAGAGTTGCGATAAAAAGACACAACCGAGAAAAAATAACACTCAATATTTAAACGAAAAATTGCGATAAAAAGACACAAACGGAAAAAAATAACCGTCAATATTATAACGAAGAGTTGCGATAAAAAGACACAACCGAGAAAAATAACCGTCAATATTTTAACGGAAAGTTGCGATAGAAAGACACAACCGAGAAAAAGAAACCGTCGATATTTTAACGGAAAGATACGATAAAAAGACAAAAACAAAAAAAGAAACCGTCAATATATTAACTAAAAGTTACGATAAAAAGACATAACCGAAAAAATAACCATCAATGAAAAATTGTAACCGTAAATATGTTAACAAAGAGATAGGACAAAAAGATACAACCGAGAAAAAATAACCGTTAATATTTTATAGAAAAGTTGCGATAAAAAGACACAAACGTGAAAAGTAATATTAATATTTTAACGGAAATTTGCGATAAAAAGACACAACCAAAAAAATAATCGTCAACGAAAAAAAGAACCGTCAATATTTTAACTAAGAGTTGCGATAAAAAGACACAACCGAGAAAAAATAATCGTCAAACTTTTAACAGAAAGTTGTGATAGAAAGACACAAACAAAAAAATGACCGTCAATATTTTAACGGAAAGTTACGATAAAAAGACACAACCAAAACAATAACTGTCAACGAAAAAAGTAACCGTCAATATTTTAACGAAGAGTTGCGATAAAAAGATACAACCGAGAACAAATAACTGTCAATATTTTAGCAAAAAATTGCGATAAAAAGACACAACCGAGAAAAAAATAATCGTCAATATTTTTACAGACAAAAAAGACACAATCGAGAAAAAAATATCGTCAATAATTTAACAAAAAGTTATGATAAAAAACAGAAACGAAAAAAGTAACCGTCAATATTTTAACGGAAAGTTGCGAGAAAAAAACACAAATAAAAAAATAACCGTCAACGAAAAAAGTAACCGTTAATATTTTAACGAAAAGTTGCGAGAAAAAAACACAACCGAAAAATAACCGTCAACGAAAAAATTAACCGTCAATATTTTAACGGAAAGTTGCGATAAAAAGACACAACCGAGAAAAAATAACCGTCAATATTTTAACGGAAAGCTGCGATAAAAAGACACAAACGAATAAAGTAACAAACAATATTTTAACGGAAAGTTGCAATAAAAGATACAACCGAAAAAAAACCCGTCAATATTTTAATGAAGAGTTGCGATAAAAAACACACCTGAAAAAATAACCGTTAATATTTTAACGGAAAGTTACGATAAAGAGACATAAGCGTTCAAAAGTGCAAAATACATTTATTGAGGTTGTTATTTTGGTTAATAAAACCAATTTGATATGTAGTCTAATGGTTGATGTAAAAAAACTTTGTAGTATTACTAACTATACAAAAAAATGCAATGAAATTATATAATGGAAAGACGTAACTTTAAATGAATAAATGCAACTATAAAGATATAACTGTAAACTGAAAAGATACAACTGTAATTGAACAAATATACCGTAAATAATTCAACGAAAATTCAAAGAGAAAATTCAATAAAAAAACATAACCTTAAAAAAATAACCGATTTAAACGAAAGGTTGCGATAAAAAAATGCAACCGTTCAGATGTGCAAATGGTATTTATTAGATTGCTATTATATATAGATTAGGTATTTTATTTTTTATTAGTGTGATAGTTTTCAGTTTTAAAAAATGAATTTTTATATTAAAAATTAATTTTTGTGCAGGAATCTTAAACATCATTAATATATATATATATATATATATAGGAAATAGCCAAATATAGGTGTTTGAGTTAAATATCTTCTTCTATCTTAACTAAATTTTATAACACAACATGTAACGGCCTAAAGCGATCTCCTTGATATAAGCCTAGTGAAGAGGCATTTGTTTTTCTCTAAAAAAGAAACTCTTGACTCTTGACACTTTTTTTTTTCGAAAAGACTTTCCAAAATAACAAGTTTACTATTATAAGTAATTGAAGCCCCTTAAACGGCCTATGAATTTCTGCATTTATATTGGATAACTGAATCCAACACCATACATGATCAAAAACTCCACCAACTTTGGAAATTGCAAAGAAAAGAGGAAAACTGTTTTGCCATTCAGTGTTGATCATAATATATAGTTATGGCAAAAATTATGTATTGTTTGTGTTAATAGGTATTATGTTGAAGAGTATGAAGTTTAATTTTAAAATTGTGACATAATATCACATTTATAAATATAATTGAGTAACAGTGACTAACATTACTTGCAAAATGGGATACCATACAAAACAATTACACGCGTTTATCTTTAATAACTTAACATATTATACTTAATTAAATCTATGATGACAAAAAAATATATAAAAGATTGTCGTATACCATATACACAAATGACATTGGTTATTCTCTAATAAGATTACATATAAATATTGTGCTATTTTTACAAAATTATATACTATTTGGTGTGTCAAGTCACGGAAAAACGGTCAAAAGCATCCCAAACAATTTGCGAGATGTTTTTTCTAACCTAAATTAATTATGGCATCAGGCGTTGATGAACCTAAACCAATAAATTTTTAAATTACTAGCCGGAACCAATAAAATTTTTAAATTATCAAACTGAACCATATAAAAGCTGTTGACAAAAAAAAAAAAAACAAACAACCTGAACTATATAACTGTTAGCCGATTTTTACGTTGACTTTCACGATGATGAACCTAGCTATATGTATCTTTATTCATGTCTATAGTCTTTTATCTTCTTTGGTGTAAGTAAGAATTATCGAATATCAAACTTTTTGACAAAAACACTTTTTATAACTTGCACTGTAATTTCCATTTAAAATTAATATACATATGTAAGTTCGAACAAACAAACAAAAAAAATTCATCCCAAATTCAATATACTATAACTTTGATTATTATTCTTTTACTGGTAGTTTTGATTTAGCACCCAAAAAAAATGCATTTTATACAATTCACCCTGTTTTAAAAAAATAGAAGTTAAAGATATATTACTTAAATTTATTCCTATGACCTCTTTCCTCGAAGGTTCTTAAATTTTTTTTTTTTTGGGTGTTGTATACAAACTATACCGTATTATAATATGAAAGTGAATGATTATTCCGAAACGTGGGGAGGAGCTTCGCGAGTTGTATTATGTCAATAAAAAAAAAGGAGATTAGTCAAAGTGATTATTGCTTAGTTCTACATAAAGCAAAGCAAAAATACTTGTTCCATTGATTGTGATTCTTGGAATTAAATTCAAATAATTAAATAAGGGTTTAATTACTTTAGTTACTTTAACTAGACATACAAAAAGAGATTCCTCCGACCGTCCAAATTAGCCTATTTTAGGGCAATTTTCAGAAAATTGGAAAAGTAATTTAGTGGCAGAGAATGCTTGCTTTCTCATTTACCTTTCCTCGTCTATATCGATGTATTTTTTTTTTCTTAATTATTATTCATTAAATGCTTGCTATCGCCAGAGAGGAATCATCCTTAACAGTTCACAGAGTTCATTTTTTTTTTCCTTGTTTGATTCCTTTCGCATGACATGGCCGTTTTCTAGTACATGCTGATGCAAGTGGAACTTTCAAATAAACCTCCATTAAAAAAAATAAAAAAATAAAATAAAAAAATTTAAAAAAAATTAATTAATATGTTCATAAATTACGGCCTGTAATTTTTGATTTTTGAAAAGACTGTACATATAAATTTAAGGTCTATCATTTTTTTATAAACTAGTTTAATTTACTTCATAAAATAGTATATCTCAAATCTAAAAACACTCTCAATAAAATTTTTATTTTTACATGTGATTTACAAGAATGTCATGATGACATATTGCCTTCAAAAAGCTTCTCAAAAAATTTAAATAATAATCCAATCTTTACTAGACTAATTACAAATAGTACCACTGGTGTTACTTATACATATTTCTTTTCAATAATTAAGGTACCAACAATTAACAAATACAATATATTAAGAAGAGCATATATATTTCTGAAATAACTGATATATAATATTTTCTATAAAGCATAAATCATGATAAACATTAATATATAAAACAAATCTTTATCATATGTTCCGTACCTATATATTTGTAGTGTTTTATAAAACATATCAT